AACGGCCCCCCCCCCCCCCCCCCCCCACAATAAATAAATAAAACAAACAAACAAACAAACGACTCGTTGAACAACAACTGTCGCACCAGCGGCAAAGAAACGCACCTCAAGTCGAAATGAAAGGCGGGAAGGGCGCCAAAGACGTTTTGGTGGCGCAGCAAGGCAGAGCTGCCCGACGTCGGACTGGCCACATTCAAGGCCTGGTCGCCGTGCTTCCACCACGACGACGGCGACGAAGACGACGAGAGGAAGCCGCGCGTGCTCGCCTGCAGCATGCACGCGTAAAACTTGCACCCTTTCAGTATGGCCGCCATCCTCCTCGTTCCAATTTTCAACACACCCGCATATGCACTACACCAACAAAAAACAACAACAGAACTAACAAAATGTTCAGCGGTGGCATTATCGCGAAAGAGAGAAAAGAATGCGTACACACACACGGACAACTTTTCCTTTTCTTCACTTGAGAAAAAAACCCGGCGGAAATAACAGGAATTCTTTTTTCTTTGTACACAAGACCAATGGAAAAAAAAAAAAAAAGAGAGAGGACGATAACGAAGAGAGAGAGAGAGAGAGAGAGAGAGAGAGAGAGAGTGAGTGAGAAAGAGTGCCCAGAATTTTCAGAATCGAGTGCAAACGCCACAAAGGTAGGGACTGGCGATCGGGCGGGCAGCAGAGTTGGGCATCGTACAAAAAAGCTTATAAAATAAAAACAGGCTTCTTTTTCTTCATCTTCTCCTTTCTTGTTCTTGTCGTCGCTTTTTGCCTTTTCTTCCGGGGACAAAAACTAAGATGCCGCTGGTGCTTCCAGGTCTCCGTTGGCCACGTCCGGCTCTTCGTCGTTGTAAATGTTCTCCGCCATTTGCCACACCTGCATGATGTTGTCCTCGGACACGGAGCAGATGACCCATGGCTCGTTGGGGTTCCACGAAAAGTCCGAGATCTTGGCCGTGTGTCCGCCGTGAATAAACTGAGAGACAAGTGAATATACGGTACAGTACAAAACTCGACATTTCCTCCTCATCACCATCACCATCACCATCATCATCACCACCACCACGCACTCACCAACAACTCTGGTGGCCCGTCTTCCGCATCCTCCGACGACTGCTCTTCGCCAATCTTGCTGAGATCCCAAACGTGGAGTCGGCGGTCCGTGCCAGAGGACGCGAGGATCGTCTCGTTATGCGGCGACCACTGCACCTGGAAGATCTCGTCCTTGTGCGACTCGAACGAGTGCAGTTTCAGCTTCAAGTTGCGCAGGTCCCAAAGGGCCACAGTCTATCCAACAATAAAAAAAATTATAAAAATAGTCAACAGAGAATGATGCATTGATGGCATAGAAAAGGGGGAAAAAAAGAAAAGAATATTTGTGTGAAAGACTATTTGTGTGTGTGTGTGTGTGAGAGTCACCTTGTCTGCACTTCCCGTTGCCAAAATAAACTCCGAGTACGGGTTAAACGACAGACAGTTGACTTCCGCCGCGTGTGCATCCACCGTGTGCGACGGTCGGTTGGTCGTGTGCGAGCGCGTGTCCCAAATCATGAGCTTCTGGTCGTCGGCCACCGAGCCAAACAGCGACTCGTGCAGGAGGTGCCAGGCCACGTCCTCGACGACGGCCGTGTGGCCCGTGAAGATGCTCTTGGCGTCCACCACGCGGTTGTCCTTGGGCGTCGTGTTGATGTCCCACAAGCAGATGGTGTGGTCGTCCGACGCCGACAAGAGGTAGCCGTTGAGGTTCGGGTTCCACGACAGCCCATAGCCCTCCTTCTGATGACCCCGCAGCCGAATGTCTGGCTGACACTCGCCGCCGGGCGCCGGCGTCGACGGGTGCTTGGTGTAGTCAAACACCAGCACTTCGCACGACGGCGTCTTGGTCGCAATCACGCAGGGGTTCTGCGGCATGAACCTGGCCCGGTTCACTTCGCCCTCGTGGTTGATTTTGATTTCAATCTCAATCTTGCCACTCACAGACCCGAACCCGCCAAATTCTGCAACAAAACATCAGAAGTCCGATAAATATATATATATATATATATATACGGTTACATGATGGTACAGTACAGTACAGTACAAAAAAAAAAGAAAGAAACTGCATCACTCGCCTGCCTTCTCCGGGTCATAGTGAGACGCGTCAAACTGCGTGTCCTCGTTGGGCAGCTGGACACTGGCAATGAGCAGGTGGTTCTGCTCGTCCGACGTGTGCGTGCCCAGGATGAGGCGGTGGACGGCGTAGTCCTTGCCCTCGGGCCGCGTCACGTCCGGCAGCCATTGCACAGTGAGACTCGGCCACTCCAACGCGTGCGTCATCACCAGGTCGTAGAGGAACGGCGTGTTCTTCTTCCAGATCTTGTACTCTTCGTTGATGACACGCTCCTCCACAGCCTCCTCAGCAGGGTCACCACCACCACTGCCAATGACCCCTGTCAATCAATCAATAGATGATGATGACTCATTTAATAATGAGTCGGCAAGTCAAGTCAAGTCACTCTCTCACCTCCTTCCTTGCCATCTCCTCCTCCTGCTGCTGTTGTTGCTGCTGCTGCTGCTGCTGCTGCTGCTGCCGCCGCCGACGCCATGGCACCACGCGAACTGCGAGAGAGATCCGTTTTGCCAACTACAAAAGCACACCGAACAGCCGATAAACCAAGAGAACGAAGCAACACACGTCCTGACGAAAGAAGGGCAAGACTTGAATCAATCAATCAATCAATCAACATGGCCAACAATTGAGGAAATGTACTCAATAAATGCAGCACTACAACATAGTACTTGAAGAAGCAATTCCTTCTCGAGTCCATCGCTGGAAAAAAAAAAAAAAAAAAAAACACAAAAAAAAACCAATAGGCAGAGGAAGCCGCGTCAAGATTCATCTCCGTTTCATAAATATACAGTAGCACTTTGAAAAAATAAGGCTTCATCTGGACAGATTATTTCCAACACGACCAACGGAAGCCTCTCGCCCACACAGACACACTTCTCTTTTTCGTTAGCTGAAGCTGGACAATGCCGTAGTTTCTTTTTAAAACTTCACTTTCACCGACGTCATGAGCAGAGCACATTATCATTATTTGCAAATCCAGACTCGCTGGAAAAGAACAAGGTAAGAAGCAAAAAGTTGACTATAGAATGAAAACAGCAGCATAGCGAGAGAGAGAGAGAGAGATAGAGAGTGAGTGAGTGAGAGACGAGATGAAAGAAGTCAGGCCTGCGAGTTCATCTGCTGCTTCATCATGGACAACATGGCCTCCATCTCTCTCAGCTTCTCCTCCTTCTCCTTCAACAGCCGGTCCTTGTCTGACAACAGCCCATCCACGTCGTCGCCGCCGCCTCCTCCTCTGCAAAATCCACGTCAGTCGTAAAACAATCCAATTCAATCGTCAAGAATCGACTGATTCCTGGACGATGCAACTCACCCCATCCTTCGAGACACTCCATCCCCAGACGACAGTCCGTGATGCTTCATGCCATTGCTCGCCGCCGCCATCATCATCATCGTCGTCGTCGTCGTCGTCGATGTCGCCGTGTTGGTGTTGTTCTTGGTCGCCAGTCGCTCCGACCTGTAGTTCTCATAGTGCAGGTCCTGCGTCACTTCCTGCAGGTCCTGCATGTGCATCACCAGCATGGCTCGCAGTTTGATAAAGTCGCAATGGTCCGGGTTCTCCACCTCCACCACGCCCCAGGGGTACATCCGCCCGCGCACCTTCTTGCCCTTGACGTCAAACTGCTGGTTCGAGCCGCAGACGGCAAACGGCACCGAGGCCTTGAGGATCCGGATCTGCTCCTTGTACTCTTCGTCCTCGTCCGAGTCGCAGTCGGGAATGGTGTACACTCGGATCCCGTGCTCTTGAATCTGCCGCCAAAAGTCAGTCAACCAACCAACCAACACAGAGACACATACAGTACTGTAGCGCTCGCACGTGCGCATTAACAAATTAAAATCAAATCAATCAATCACCTGCTCCACCACGCGCGTCTTGAGAGCGAGCACCTCCTTCCGCGTCAGCGTGTCCGCCTTGGCAATCACCGGCACGATGTTCACCTTGGCGTGCAACTGCTTCATAAAGTCTATGTCCAACGGCTTCAACCTGCAGAAGAGAAAATCAGGATGCAATTACGTACAGTATTTCTCATTTGATTCTTTTCTCTGTGATTTTACCCCCAACCAACCAACCAACCCTTCTTACCCGTGGCCAAAGGGAGAAATAAAGTAGAAGCAGCAATGGACCCGGTTGTCCACAATGTTCCTCCGATTCAGTCCACTCTCGTCCTGCAAATACCGCTCGTACTGGTCGTCGATGTACTGGATGATGGTCTGGAAACTGGGTCATCGAATCAACGAGACATTGTTGAGTAGACGACGAGGAACAAGGAAAAGACAGCCGGCTGGCTGACTGACTGACCGACTGAAAAACAACAACTGTTCTCACCAATCCGTGCTGTTGATGCTGTCCCCGAATCCCGGCGTGTCCACGACAGTCAGCCGCAGTTTCACGCCGCGCTCCTCAATCTCCACCGTCGACGCCTCAATCTTCACAGTCGCCTTGGTTTTGTCTGCAAGCAACAAGCGTCCTCACGTCGCAGACAAGGGCAATCAATCAACGACATGAAATAAACCTCACCAGCCGCATTCGGAATCACACGTTCCGGGTACAAATCAGTCAGGAAAAGGCTGTTGACCAGCGTTGTTTTCCCAAGCCCGGACTCTCCTGGAAAAATTCCAATTCCAAGTTTAGTCCACCCAGGGGGGGGGGGGGGGGGAATTATATCAACCAATTAAAGACTCACCAACTATCATCAAGGTGAATTCAAATCCCTTCTTGACGAACTTGCGATGAACCTGATTCGGCAAATTGGCGAACCCCAAGTAACCCGGAACATCTGGGTTCGAAAAGGTCTGCAAATGCAAATACAGTAAAACAACAAACGAAGTGCCCTCGACAAACTTATTATCAGCGTCTCATCACACGAATACCTTCCAACAACCCCCAAAATGTTGGTACATTGAAGGAAGTCGACAAGGTCAGATCAACTTGAAAGACTCACCTTCAGGTCACCCATGAGACGACGCAGCTTCCACCACTCTACTATAACGCCCAATCACAAAGCCTGAAAACCAGAGCAATACGAGTCAGTTCTCACACTCGCTGCATTCTTTCTCTCCAAATCATTCTCTCACACCCAAGCGACACATTGCGAAACACTCTCACTTTTTCTCCCCGGTCATCAAACACAGCTTGCACAAAAACAAAAAATAAAAGGGGAGACCCCAATGAAAAGAAACGCCACACGCACAACTAAGGAGAGAGAGCAGAGTTTCGAGGTAGGTCTCGTCTAACAAGAGCGTCGACGACGGAGAAAAACAAAGAGCCATCTTTTCATCATTCATCGTTCGGGCTGCGGACATCTACAATTAACGCGTTGCCAAAGGACTTCCGTACAATTATTTACCAGGTCGTCGGAAACAAGATATTTAAAAAAAAATCAGCAATAGTCTTCCACGACTCTTATCCTTTCTCTTTGTCCCTGAAAAAAAAATGTACACAATACACGGAAAAAGGGGAGATATCACAAATAAATCCCATCGCCCGGAAGTGACCGTAGACTACGATGCAGCATAAAAATTGAAATGCCCAAGTTCGGCAGATCTGGAAGCGGGACGCACAGGAAGAGCTGCCACTTACACCTGAGAAACTCCCTCGCGAATCCCGCGGAAATCCATTAAAAACAAAAGAGGAGCGAACGAACGAACAGGAAAAAAAAAAACCATTTACGCGACACACACGATGGATCTCCCCCACTCTTTTAGGTGGCATAGCGTTTTGTCCAAGTCCGAGCCATCTTGTCGTGCTCGTCGCGGTTCTGCAAGTACTGCGTCGCGATCGAGCCAACCAGGGGATCGGACGGGTTGCAGTCCGTCAACAGTGAGCAGATAGATAGCAACACCTGCAACGACAATCAATCCATTAGTGAAACATTCACAACGCAAGAAGCGAATAGGTCTGGCAACGGGCTCCATCAATCACCTTCGAAATGGTCAAGGCTGGCGACCAATTGTCCTTGAGGATGTCGAGGCAGATGACCCCGTGGGAATTGATGTTGCAGTGGTAAATCCTAGTTCGAAACGTCACCTTCGGCGGCTTGAACGGGTAATCATGAGGGAAATGAATGTCCAGGAAGAACACACCGCCTTCATAAACTGATCCCGGGGGACCAAGAATCGTGGAGACCCACTCATACAAATTGTCGCCCTTGGGACCGGCAGAGCAGTTCGGCGGCGGATCCAGCGTGATCTCAGCCAATTCTTTCTGGATCCGTTTCGCAGACGTAGACAGTGTTTTCGTAGAGGCCTTGATCCCGGCGCTTTTCTCGGGCTTCACAGATGATGGCGAATTCTGCTGCGAACCGGCGTTTGCAGAAGACCGGGATGTCGACGCGTTTGCATTCTGTGTTGTGGACATGGCGGAAACGAGCTTCACAACGCTGAGATCACGCGTCCTCCAACAACCGGACGACTCCTGTTATTACGGCACTACCAGAGTCCTTCGACCTCTGCGCGTTCACAGCACACCATCAATTTCGTCTAAACAGAATGATAGCGTTTCTCAACAACACACCTTCATGATTAACATGCATGACAACGCACTCGATAAACACAATGTATCGTTCAATCACACAAAACAAGAAACGCAGCCCAGCCGAATAACGAACATTAAAATCTCTCCATCAAAAAATGATTGACCACTTGGCGGTGTGGCACACGTTCCATCCGCGGCACTAGATGTCTACACCGCTCGACGCAAGACCATTCGCGCGGAGTCTGCATCCTCGAAAAACTGTTACAGACCAAGCATCGATGCAAAGAGCTGTAAGCTGCTTCAAAGCCTATTTAATGCTGTAAAAATTAATTAAACATTTTAATCGATAAAATTCCAAGAGTATAGTATTTTATCAATTTTGCATGCAGTACTGTGCTTGTTGTTATCAATACTTATGATTTTGAGACTCTAATGGCTGATTTTTAACGAGAAAGTGAGACCAGGGAACTTCCGAGAATTCCAATTAGTGTACTATTACAATATGTCTTGCTTCCTCTTTGTTCATACATGACCGAGAGTACTGTACTGTACCCTACTGTACATTCAGGGATTTTTCATTATATATTCGCGTGTACTGTACTGTACTGTATATAATAGCTCTATGTACACAACACTGGTCACCTGAACAAAATGCACTATTGTACTGTTTATGGGACCATGCTAAAGTGATTTTTATGAGCAGATGCTCAGAACAGTAATATGAACTTGCCTCAAGGCCATTGTAGAACTGTACTGAGAATAAAGTAAATTGTGAGTCCCTCTAAAACCCTAAAATTTTGATTAATATGGAGGAAACTATCTTTTTAAAATGGTCAAGCTGCATAAAACAGTACATATGCGTAGACTGCATTGGCTGAATCAGATTAAATAGACTATACCATTTACTCAGCAGTAAATATTTTTTAGAAGAAACCATTTACTCTGGGCAGGCAGCGCAGTGGATTCAGAAAACCAACATAAATATTTTTTTCATTTTCCGCATGATGTGTGCCAACAGCGTCCTCACGTCTCCAGGAATGAACTGTTTTCTCTCACCTCATTAAATATTTGGTGGCAGAGATGAGTTTTGATTCACCAATTCACATAGTAGAAAAATGTAATCCGAAAAACGGTTACCTGTTGCAAGCAGGAGTGTAGGACACATTTTATTCATCCCTTTCCACAGAAGAAGGGGATTGAAAATTATCAAAAAAGGCGGAGCCTATATCCCGAAAGAGGTGGAGTCTGATGGATGCTGACAAACCCAAACAACAAGCGTTTGGTAACTTGCAGGGGTTTTAACGTTGTCAAACCGTGATTTCATCATCCCTCATAAATATAACATGAGACTGTTTGAATAACCAAGGTGGAAAATGCATTATATACACAATGGTGGATGGACTTCTCGCCGGAGCTCATGGTCAATATGTAAACCTGCCTGATAATGACCCCAGCTGCATTTATGGCTGAAGTCAAATTGTATAAGCATTTGTAAACGCTTTTTTACGGAATTTTTACGCCCAGGTGATGAAAAATGCATGCCTAGAGCATTCAGAACTGTTCAATGGAATTTCCAGTGACGAAAGGTAACCACGCCTTTTTAGGATAATTCCGTCTATCAACCCCAGAGAGCGGGGTCAATTTGGCTGACATCCGTACCGCGCATCATGTGTTGACACGTCAAATGACAGCGCCATATTTGATGCAGATGCGACATCTATGAATAAAAAAGTAAAACAATCTTTCTCAGTGTCTTCTAGTGACATCTATTACATCCAATAGGAAACAAGGATCCTCCATGATGCCTGCTGAACGAGTTCAACAAGTGCACTTCCTAACTTATCTGTTCCAAAGTAACAGGTACTCATACCTGTTACTTAATAACACATAATAACACAAGCAGGAATGCGATACTTGTTCAGTCTAATGTAGTACAGTAATGTAATCCTATTGGTGTTGCACTGCTAAAGCAACAGATGTCACTGTAACAATTTTAAGTAGTCGGTCTTTTCACTCAAAGGTGTCGCTTGTGCATGTTCCCCATTTTGGGGTCATCGCTTTCCAGGTAACGCATCTCTGAGTGACGCGGTGACGTTATGGTACACTTTCCAATTCAACGCCGCGCTTTATGACGCTGCCTCTTAAGAGGGCTATTCCCTTCCACTCCATTGCTCAACGCTATGAATGAGTGACTTCATTAACTTCGCATGCTTACAGATAGGAATTACATGTTATAGAACGGTGTAATAGGAAGATAACATACTATGCTATACAAGAACTTGTGGCACGCCTAATGTTTTATTCTCGTTATTTTATGAGTAGAATTCAGTGGTGGCCAAAAATGTAATTTGTATCAAGACTTCCAATCGGATATTCAGACTTTGAAAAAAAAATTGAACAAATTATTCACATAATTTGCGTTATGTTATTTGGATATTCAAATTTATTTATTTATTTTGATAAAGTTTTCTTTTTATTTAAACTGTTATTTTTCCATCAGAGTTTCTCTAGATAATATATTTTATTCATCTTAAAGAATTGCTTCTATATGTGCACTGTTACTTGTCCCTAGAAGTTTCAGTAATGTATACATTAATGCTACCAAACTATTGCAGTTGAAGTCGCTCAATGAGAGACTGGTGCTCTTAGGGGTGGTGTGGAAGAGGTTGCCCTGAATGGAGTGGCGTTGAGTGGAAGTTGTACTATAACGTCGTGTCGCGGCTGATGTGTTCCCACAAAGTTTACCTGTGGTCAAGCCTGTGTAATTCCCCTTTCCTCACCTCTCCACTCGAATCAGTGGCCGATGGATACTGTATTTCAATTCCAGGTGATTATGATCTCGCCTCGCGTAGTGCATTGTGACGCAATGAACTAATGTAAAATCGAGAATGGCAAACCTTGCACGCAGTGTCATCAGTCGTGGTCGGGGTCCAACGCTTGAGCACGAAAGGGAGCAGTTTCTTCGCACGCAATGGAATGCAATCACGAAGGCTCTTTCTGCGCAAGAAGGACCGACGAAGCTGAAACATGTTCGAAGTAAGGCGTGATTCGAAATTTATTGTGATTACTATTGACTGAACCTACGTGCTTGATACCCAACATTCCGTTTCGAATCTGTTCTCTCGTTTTTTTGTCGTCGTCGTCCGGCGTTGAACTAAATTTTCTAGTCATCATCATTGGGACGCATCAAGAGCGATCCGGGGGATTATTCTGGGAGAACGTTCAGAGAATTCCGATTCATGGGAACCAAATCGTGGCTTGGAAGCTGTGCCATGTCTTGCATAAATTGCTGCGCGACGGACATGCTCGAGCGCTTTGGGATTCTGTGAAGCGACGCGAATTCTTGAAGAATATGAGCTTCACGATGGTGGGTTTTACGTTTGAGTGACGATTGAACTGACTTCGCTAGGAACGACCTTTTTTCCCCCTTGTTTGGGACCAATGAAAAAAAAATTAACAGGCGTCCATCGATGTGGGATACGGGAAATTGATCAATTCCTACGTGAATTTGCTGCTTGTGAAACTGAACTTCCACGAACGCAACAAGGCATTCCCGGGGAACCTGTTCGTGTCAGATGCCCAGTTGGAGTCGATGGCGCACGACGACGTCAACAACTTTTTTCAGCTGACGGTGGAGATGTTTGATTACCTGGAGGAAATCCTGAAGCTGCAGAAGATGGTGTTCGGTTCGTTGGACATGAGTCGGGCCAACTCGATGACGGCTTCGGGCCAGTGTCGACTCGCCCCCCTCATCCCGTGCATTCAGGACTCGTCGCATTTGTACGACTACATCGTCAAGATCATGTTCAAGCTGCATTCAAGGCTGCCGCCGGACACTTTGACGGGTCACAGGGACCGATTCAAGCGCCAGTTCGAGGAGCTCAAGGCCTTCTACGACCATTCTCGAGATCTGCAGTATTTCAAAAATCTGATTCAAGTCCCGAGCTTGCCTGCAGTGAGAGAATCCCTTTCATCATTTTTCTCTCAAATTCTTTGCCCCTCCTCCATTTTTGATGTACTTTGCTGTGCGTGATGAGATTGCTGCACTTGATCCTCTGAAATGTGAAAAATTGTTGAAAATTGAATTAGTCAAGAAAACATTTTCAATACTGGGACACATTTCAGGAGAAACTTTTTGCATTTTCTTTTCCAACTTGTCATATTTTCAACCGTAATTTTTTACATGTAAATACAGGAAATTCATAAAATATCATGGCTCATCTGATCAGATTAGATGGGATAGTGATGACATTCTCAATAATTTTCATGTAAAAAATGAGTGGCATCTTTTGCTGGGTGTGAGGACTAACCTTTTAGTTTCACTCAAAGTTTGTATGTCTGTCCTTTGCAGAGACCCTTGAACTTTTTGATTGAGGCAGAGAGGCGCACTTATGTGACGCCTGTCGTCAAGGTGCCAGACTTGCCACAGGAGGAGGAAGAAGGCACTTTGATTGACATGGCCCCCCTGGGCCAGGCAGCTGGCCTGGACTTGCTTGCAGACGGTGCTTTTGGATCTTTACAAACTAATGGTTCAGCGGCTTCTGCTGAGGCTCTTGCAGAGAAGTGAGGGATCTTTCTTTTCTTATTATCGCGAATTTCCAAACTTGTACATTCACGCTTGCACTGTTTCTTTTATTTTTATTTTTTCAGGGAAAGACAGATAGAGTTTTTGGAGGCGCAGTTGTCAGATGCAAAATCCCAACTGTCTCAGACCACGTATGAATTGCAGAGGGATGTCAGAGACTCGAGGGAGGAATCGGCAAGCTTAAAGAACAAGCTTTCCAACAAGGTCTGTGTGTCAATCAAGTGCTGTGCTGTGTCGTGTGTCTTTGATTGATGGCTAACGTGCCTGATTGATTTATTGATCGTTTGCAGGAGGTTGA